CGTTGCCATGCGGCCTTCCTGGAAGCAAACTATGATACCGATATGCTGATGAACGGCCGCTATCCGTATTTTCTGAAAGCGCGCATCAGCGGTGGCAAGGGACACCTTTCCAACGCCCAGGCCCTGCAGGTTTTCCTGGAACATAAGCCGTCTTTTATGAGTCATGTATTACTCGCGCATTTATCAAAAGACAATAACGATCCGGAGAAAGTGGAACAGCTTTTCCGTAGTCATGCAGGTGATGTAAAAGTGATCGTTGCCTCGCGGTTCCAGGAAACGGACGTTTACCAGATCGGAAATAATATTGGTAATGAACCTATTGCACTGAACACAAAAACACAACAATTGGCACTTTTGTAAAATTAAAAAAATGTAGGTATATTGTCATATTAAAACATACTACCTTGAATACCGCCGCACGCAACTACCCCGAGGGGTATAGAGTACCTAAAAAAACCGTCCTGCTGATCAGCTGCATTGATCTGCGCCTTATGGATGAGCTGGTTCACTTTATGGACTACGACAATCTCACCAACCGTTATGATCATTTTGTACTGGCAGGCGCTTCGCTCTGCTGTGTTACCGATGATCTTACCTCACATTATGATGCTAAAATGCTGAAGGCATTTAATAAATTCCATCATTGGAGAGATAGCATGTACGATCATATCCAACTGGCTATTACCCTGCATGGCATTAAAGACATCTATATTGTAGAACATGCAGAATGCGGGGCCTATGAAAACTTCCTGAAGAAAGGAACGTTTAGTTCAGATCAGGAAGAATTGGACAGCCACCGTAAATTTGCCGCCCAGTTAAAGGACAATATCAAGGCGCATCCTACACCTGAGATCAACAGCCTGCACGTCCATACTTTCCTGATGGATACAAGGGGCAATGTGCAGCTGATGGACACCACAAATCCATCATAACCCGTTTTACAGGTCAATAGATCTGGAACCGGGCGGTCACATTATTGGTTACATCGGTGGCAGTGGCTAAAATGCCTTCTGTAACGCCGATGCTATTTTTATAGGGGGTATAATTCAGGTTGAAATACCGGGTTGTCACCCCCTCTTTGTCATTGCCAAAAA